TTTCTTTCTTTCTTTCTTTCTTTCTTTCTTTCTTTCTTTCTTTCTTTCTTTCGTTAACAGCAGTACATTTATGTGGCCTGACTTGGCAGTTGCAGCCAGTTGATGGACAGCTTTATGAAAACGGACTCAGTAAAGGAAACAGACTCACAGAATCTGTGGATACAACATATGCTCCCATTGGAGGGAAAGTGTCAGATAAAACAGAAAGGAAAGGTATCTTGTTTTCTAGCTTTTTTCATCAAGTGTATAAATTATCATGGGAGATGCTCTGACGTCGCAGGCAAGACCAGAAGTCTGAATGGTTTTGTGTAGTGAGGGCATGCAATTAACCCAATTGACCTGCATGTTCCCCGAGTTAATATTACTGATTTGTTTATTAGATTTTTATCCCTTGTTTATTACTTTGTATTGTAAGTCAAGGTGGTGAACATACCTAAATGCTCCTTCTTCCTCCTATTTTACAAACAGCAACAATCTTGTAAGGTGGGTTAGATTGAGAGAGTGAGATCATCTCCTGGTGACTGGCCCAAAGTCACCCAGTCAGCTTTCATACCTAGGGTGGGACTTGCAATGGAGTCTCCTGGTGATTGACTCAAAGCCATCTAGTCAGCCTTTTTGTCTAAGGTAGGACTAGAACTCGCCATCTCCTGGTGACTGGCCCAACATTCCTCATTCACCTTCCATGCCTCAGGCAGAACCAGAACTCAACATCTCCCAGTTTCTGACCTAGTATCTTAACCATTAGGCCAACCTGATTCTTGTATTGTGCTATATTGTAAGGGTAGAGCAGTGTTAGTCTATTTTAACCAAAAAATCAAGAATTGGTGTGCCTAACACATTTTTCTAAAAGATTTAAGCTTTTCTAACTACAGCTCGCTTCATCCGATGCATGATGTCTCAGAAGATTGGTTTCCATAAGTCCTACCATATTCCTTCTAATACATGATTTAACAGGGTCCCATTTTGGCTTTGTGGTAAGAACGCCATCGCTGTCATTCTGAGGATTTTTACGTAAACCTGAAAGCTGGAAACAGATCAGATCAGATGTGATTTCACATTAAATGGCTTAAAACACATACAAAAACACAGAGAAATCAATGAGGCAAATAGAGACGAGAAGAAATGGGGCAAGGCAATATATATGAGAGTACTGCTGCTACTTGATTCAGATTTGACTTAAGCATGTTTGGCCTGAATCTCCTAATTGAATTGACTTTTTGAATCAGATAAAAAAAAGTGCAATTGAATCAGTTAATTCTGCATCCGGATGATTCTCAAGCTGTCTCTCCCCAGTACTACATCAAATACCTTAACCCAGACATGTCAAACACAAGGCCTGGGGCCGGATGCGGCCCGCGAAGTGGTTTCATGTGGCCCGCAAAGCCATCCTGGAAACAGTGAGGGAACGGCCCCCACTGCCTTGGCCCTGGCCAGGCCGGCCGGGAGCCAATGTACAATTTTGTGGTGGCCATCTATGCTGAAACACATTCAGTCTTAGCTCCACAAGGCCATCCAGAAACAGTGAGGAACCAGCCCCTGCCGCGTCGGCCCCGCCCCCTGGGTGCATGCTGGGGAGGTGTCACCCTTTGTGAGGAATGAAGAAATGGACCATCCTTGGCGCTTGCCCTGGTCCCACCCCCTTCTGCCAGAGACCCCCAGATCTGTCCCACTCCTGCCCAGGCCCCCACAGGCACCCTTGACGCAAACGATGTAGAGCTGGCCATGCCCACCCAGTAGGCCACACCCACTCCATCCATGCCCACCCAGTAGGCCGCACCCACCCTGGCCACACATACCCGCCCCTCCCCGAGGGCAACCACAGTGCTGATGCAGCCCTCAATGAAATTGAGTTTGACACCCCTGCCTTAACCAGTACATCCTATAGGTTTTCTGGACCAGTTTTGGATTGAAAATAAATACTCAAGATCCTTTTATTTCCTCCCAGCTCTCATCCCATTGGAGGAAAATAAATGTTGATTCTGAAATATTTTTTTTAAAGAAGAAACGTCTTAGAAGAAAGCCCTACCCAACGACGTGCCATTACAGGAAGGGAATGTGACTCTGAACAGGAAATACAGATAGTCCTCAGTTTTGGATCCCAAAATTTAAGCTGCTAAGTGAGACATTTGTTGAGTGCCCCATTTTACAACCTTTCTTGCCACAGTTGTTAAGAGAATCACTGCAGTTGTTCAGTTAGTCACACGGTTGTTAAGTGAATCTGGCTTCCCCATTGACCTTGCTTGTCAGAAGGTCATGTGACCCCGGGACACTGCAACGGTCATAAATGAGAGACAGTTGCCATTGAAATGTTGATCACGTGACCATGGGGATGCTGCAATGGTCATAAGTGTGAAAAAGGGTTATAAGTCACTTTTTTTCAACAGTCACTAAACAAACTGTTGTAAGTCAAGGACTATCTGTACATTTGCAGCCGGCTGAGATTAGCTCATCAAAAACATTTTGGCCTTTCATTATAGCACAGCAAAGCCTAGTATGAAAGAGTTGGTAAGGGGTAATTCTGCCAAGAAAGAACATTTCTATAATGGGATTGTGTCACGCTGAAATTACATCTCCCAGTATAATTTGGCATATATACCCACCCATGTTTATTCATTTCCCTGAAGACTGGGTTGTGCCATTTTTGAAAAATGACAAAACAGCTACCATCCCATTTAAAAGCCATCCACCTGGACCGACATTACATTCGATTTTAAAAATGTGGCTTGTATCTTTGACTTTAGAGTTCCTGCTTTGTACCCAGACAGCATAATCAGTATGGTAACGACACTGCGTCAGTATCAGGAAAATGTTTTTAAACATCCACTTGGCCTATTGGGCATAGGCTTATAAACAGTTCCAGACAATATCTGAAAAGTCTTGTCATCTTCCAGCTTTTCTTGTGGCTCAGATTAAATTCTCTTGAAGAGAAACCCCAAAGTAATTTCAGGCAGCGCTTAGGAGAAAAAGAAACTGTTTACAAGCTGCTACTCTTAAAAATAAGCAAGACGGGCTTAGCCAATTCTTTTGGACCTTAAATTCAGCCACCTAAATGTATCTACACAGCTTAGGGGCCAGAACTAATCTTCGCTCTGTGCTCATAAATAGTGATCCTAAAAGAAACCAAACCTTTGGAAGGACAGATTTTGAAACTGAAGCTCAAATGCTTTGGCCACCAAATGAGAAGAAAGATGGGGAAGATGTTGGGGAAGATGGAAGGCAAAAGGAGAAGGGGACGGCAGAGGATGAGATGGTTAGATAGTATCATTGGTGCAACGAACATGAATTTGGGCAAGCTCTGGAAGACAGGAGGACAAGAGAGCCTGGCATACTGAGGTCCATGAGGTTGTGAAGAGTTGTACATGACAACAATATAAATGGTTCCTTCTGTGGGGTCCTTGGTGTTCTCTGAGCTTAGTTATTTTCTTGCAGATGTTTCATTACCCAGCTAGGCAACATCATCAGTGCTAGGAGGGGGTAGGGTTTGCTCTCTGTTTATGTACAAGTTCCTTCCCTACCACCACTTCCCACTTCTCTGCTACTTTAGCAGAAGCAACATTCCCCAGGAAATGCCCCAAAGCTCCCAAACCCTGGTTCTGAGACGAGAAATTAGAAGAGCCTATATTTTGCAGGTTGCTAATTATGCCCAAGGTATCAAAAAAAATTGTTTCCCAAAATGTATCTTCTTTGTTTATTTACAGTATTAATCAATGGACCTGTTCAGTCCCTTTCTCCCTCTTTTTTCTTTGTTTCTTTGCTTCTTTTTGTTTCAAAAAGAAACAAATAACCCCAGAATCAAGCTGGGTCAAGAGTGTGATGTGGAGGAAAAGAAGTGTAAAGCTTAGAGATGTGTTAAGAAGGCATTTGTGGAGCCCAGTGAAGTGATTAACACCTATGTAGTGCTAAAAGTCCTTTGTCTTTGTTTAATCTCTGTGGAGTAATGTCAGAACTCCCAACGCTAGCTCAGCTGTGTTGTTGGGAAATGAGACTTTTGCCCAGGGACGAAAGAAAGAAAGAAAGAAAGAAAGAAAGAAAGAAAGAAAGAAAGAAAGAAAGAAAGAAAGAGGGAGGAAGGAAGAAAAGAAAGGAAAGGAGAGAGAGAGAGAGAGACAGAGAGAGAGAGAGAGAGAGAGAGAGAGAGAGGGAGGAAGGAAGGATGGAAGGAAAGAAAGGAATGGAAAGGAAAGGAAAGGAAAGGAAAGAAGAGAAAGAAAGAGAGAGAGAGAAGGAAAGGAAAGAAGAGAAAGAAAGAAAGAAAGAAAGAAAAGAAGAGAAGAGAAAGAGAAAGAAAGAGAGAGAGAGAGAGAAAGAAAGAAAGAAAGAAAGAAAGAAAGAAAGAAAGAAAGAAAGAAAGAAAGAAAGAGGTCCATTTGTGCACTACACGATCTTATGTTTGCTGCTCCCTGAGCTTGGCTGTTTTCTTGCAGACGCTTCAGTACTCAAACTATCTAGTATCATCAGTCTAGCACTGATGATGTTACCTAGTTGGGTAATGAAACGTCTGCAAGAAAACAACTAAGCTCAGAGAGCACCAAAGATGCCTCATTTCAACTCTAAGCTACTGTACAGATATTCTCCTTTAAGGGTCTTCTCTTTCCAAGCATCGATAATATTCAAAGCTATCCTTTAGGGTCCCCAGTCCCCGGGCTGTGGCCCACAGCGAGACATGGCCTATTCGGAAACGGGCCGCACAAGAGGCAGACCTGGCGCACGTAGGTCCACTCCACTCCCACAAGTGGCACCCCAAAGGCTTCTCTTCTCTCTTGCGTGAGTGGAGCTGTGTGCACACCTGTGCACACCGGCCCGTTGCTCGCATAGCCAGGTTCCCCTCTTTCCCCCACCCCAGCCGGGCTGCCCAGCCGCAAAGGTTTGGGACTGCTTCTTTGGGCCCCAAAGATTCCTCCAGCTACCTGGGGTTTTATATGATCTGCTTCCAGTGTGTTTTCCCTTCAGAAGCAAAGTTGTCTTGAATTGCAGGCTGCTCACTTAATACCTTTTTAAATGCCTTTGAAAAGCATGTTCTCTTCGTAACTTTCCTTTTTTTTGCCCTTTTGTTTTTTTGGAGATATAGTATTTCAGAAAGGACAGGCCATAGACACGGGAGAAATTGAAATTGGAGATCAGGTGATGCAGACCATCCCACCAGGCCTCTTTTGGCGGTTCCAGATCACGATCCATCATCCGTTGTACTTGAAATTTAATGTGTCTCTGGCAAAGGATTCCCTGCTTGGGATTTATGGCAGACGCAATATTCCTCCCACTCACACCCAGGTATTTTAATTTTGTCTCAGTTTTTAAAAAGCTGGCTATTTCACAGCGCGTTGTGCTCTCTCCAAAAGGAGAGTGAGGTTCACCCTTAAAGGGCTCGTTCAAGAACAACCTTGCTTTTTGGTGTCTTCTGAACTAATGGGGGTCTTTTTTTTTAATTCTTCTTACCTAGCAATTAAGAATTTTTCTTCATTTTATGTAAGCATGCGGAGGGCGGGGGGAAGAATTTTGCCAGAGCCATGAAACAGAGGAAATTTTCCAACTATAATTTTATTGTAACAGTAGATAGTCGTTTGAATTTGAATTTCAATTCAGAATAGAGCTGGAAGGGACCTTGGAGGTCTTCTAGTCCAACCCCCTGCTCAAGCAGGAGACCCTATACCATTTCAGGCAAGTAGCTGTCTAGTCTTTTCTTAAAAAACCTCCAGTGATGGAGCAATCACAACTTCTTGAGGCAAGTTGTTCCACTGTTAATTGTTCTCACTGTCAGGAAGTTTCTCCTTGATTCCAGGTTCCTTCTCGCCTTAATTAGTTTCCATCCAATGTTTCTTGTCCTGCCCTCTGGTACCTTGGAGAATAATTTGACCCCCTCTTCTTTGAGTCAGCCCCTCCAATACTGAAATACTGCTATCATGTCATCCCTAGTCCTTCTTTTCTCTAGATTAGCCATAGTCTATGGCTAATCTAGAGAAATGTCTAAAGAAAAAAATTCTTTGCCCCCATATTTAGAATACCTTATCATAGTTATTACTACCTGCTGGGGTGAATTGCAAACCGTCCCAGAAACATCTACAACCTGACTTTTGTCTTTTGTTCCTGTATAAATCTTTTCCAGACAGTGAATCAACCTCATTTAATTAACACCTTTTGACAGCTTTTTGAAGGAATATCTCATAGCACTGAACAGAAAAAGAGATTTGCCTTTATTGTTTGTTTTCTTTAGCAATAAAGGATAACGATTCACACCCGTCTTTAGATTTGAACTCTCCCAGGGTGAGGGAACTGTCTTCACTGAACATACACATTTATTTTTGTGTCTTCATAAATAAATAGTTTCCATTTTGTCCCCCCAGCTGCTTCTCCACAACAATATGCTCTTCTGCCTTTTGAATAGTCTGTGCGTATGGGAAAAATCACTTGGTGGAAATTGTTAATTGGCAGTGCTTTTGTTCTTACAAAAGCCATGGAACGACAACAGTGATCAGGGAACATTTAACGGCATACAAGCTTTGTGCAAGTTTCCCCAAATACGATTTTCGAATGATATGGCACAGCTTTCCGTGTTTCGTTTCTGAGTTAGCAAGTAACAGGGGAGGCCAAGCTTCTGCCTAACTTAATCTGTCTATTTTTTAGAAAGGCAACAAATTAAACAAAAATGGGAGACATCGTAAATTGTCTTTGCTGATTCCTCTCACTTTTCCCTTCATCCCAGCCCTTTGGATGAAATGATAAGCAGTCCAGTGTTACATAAGTGTTGTGGAATTTTGGTCACGGATTGTTATGCAAGCAATATTTGCCAATTAACATCGGGCTGTTGCACTCTCTGCTGTCTTTTCTGGACTACAGTTTCTCAAAGAGAAATGCAAAGTTTCCATGACGTTCCTGAACCGAAAGCCTTCAGCATGGAAAGTTCAGGGCTTTACTTTCTTCTAAGATAAGGGAGCAAATCAAAGTGGTTTATCACAGCCCTAAGGCCATATACAGGTGGTTCTTAGGTTTTAATCCTTAAGGGGAATGTTAGTTACCACCTTTAAAGCGCTCCATGGCATCGGGCCTGGATATCTCCGAGACCGCCTTCTGCCACAGATCCCCTCTCACAGACCGGTACGCTCCCACAGAGCGGGCCTCCTCAGGGTGCCGTCGGCCAAGCAGTGTCGGCTGGCGACCCCCAGGGGGAGGGCCTTCTCTGTGGGTGCCCCCACCCTCTGGAACGNGGCCTAGGGAGAATTTTTAAATAGGGACAATTTTAATTTAAATCTTAATTAATTATACAGCGAAAAAAAATATTTGGTTTTTAATAGGTTTTTATGGGGGGACGATGTTTTATGTGTTTTAATATGCTGTAAGCCGCCCTGAGTCCTATAGGGAGAAGGGTGGCATATAAATCCATGTAAATAAATAAATAAATAAATAAATAAATTTCTGAACCGAACAGCAAGCTTCAGTGAGTTGGAAGCTGCTGGACCTTCATGAGTCTTTGCAGGAACACGGTTGGGCCAAGTGAGCAGAAGACCTGCAGGTCTTGTTAGTATTGGACTCCCGTCCACTTCTCACTGAAGCTCTTTGAAACTTTACTGTACAGAATAGATCTGGAAGGGACCTTGGAAGCTCAAGCAGGAGACCCTATACCAGTGATGGTGAACCTTTTAGCGACTGAGTGCCTGAAAACCAGCCCCACCCCACTGCCTGCCCCCGCTCCACCCCCATCCCGCCCTGCCCCATCAACCCACAGGGCCACCCACTGCCTCCACGGCCTGCCGCAGATCACCCAAACAGCCCAGCAACGCCATGGCAGCCACACTCTCCGGCCGTGCCTCACAGCATCATCTGCACATGACAGGGCGTGAGGGCGGAGTCTTGTCCCTGTTGCCCAGCTGCCATGTCCTTGACTGCGCTGCTCCATGTGGACTGCGCTCGGTGGCAACTTTCCTCTGGGGGGCTGCTGGTGAGGAGGGGGCCATGGGGGGAGGCGGGTCTGGGGCAACGGCATGCATGCCCACAGAGAGGACACTGAGTGCCAACTCTGGCACGCGTGCCATAGGCTCGCCACCCCTGCCCTATACCATTTCAGACAAGTAGTTGTCCAGGCTCTTGTTACGAGCCTCCAGTGATGAAACCCACAAGTTGGTTTTCCAAAAGCCTTTCCAACATGAGCTGCAGAGTATGTCCTGCACTTTTAGGAAGCCCTCGTCCATCCGATTCCACCAGAGCCACCATCACCCTGAACAGCACTTCCTGTACTGCCACCAACTTTGCCCAAGTAGCCTCCACTCCTGCTTCAACTATCATCAGAACAAAGTGTGTCTTGTCAGTCCATTCCCTTCTCCATGGTCTGCAGACTACCCTTGCACTAGCAGGAGAAAACAGAACTTCTTTTATTGGCTGCCCATCTCACCATAGGATAACTCTGGGCTGCTTACAGTTACATATACAGTACAGTTAAAACATAAAAAGACATTAAAACCAATTATAAATGAAAGGCTGGTCATCAAGCACCCAAATTTTTTATCACGTGATCGTGGGAACACTGCTGGGGTCAGAATTTGAAGAATTGGTTGCAACTACTATTCGTTCAGCACTGTCATAACTTTGAAAGGTCCCTGAATAAATGGTCACCCATACAGTAAAATATCTAATGGTAGAATTGCTATATAAAAGAGAAATGCAATGAGTAAATGAGATCTAAAAATAAAGGAGAACATAATAAAATAAAAACAGTGTGAGTAAAAATGATTAGTAAATGTGCCCAAACTTAATTCAGGGTGAGAAATATTGTACAGATGGTAGTACAAAACTGGACAATATGGAAGGATATTCTGGTCTGAAAGAAGTAACAGTAAATACAAATCACACTCCATGTTGGGAAACTTCTTCAAGACTGGATAAATGAGGATCTTCCTAGAATTCCTACGGTATATATATAGAGCAGAATATTAGGGTTAGATAAAAGGAGAGCCCTGGTAACTCTGCCCACTGCCAGGAGTTCAATCCTGATCAGTTCAAGGTTGACTCAGCCTTCCATCCTCCCAAGGTCAGTAAAATGAGGACCCAGATTGGTGGGGGCAATATGGCTGACTCTGTGAACTGCTTAGAGAGGGCTGTAAAGCCCTGTGAAGTGGTATATACTGTAAGTTTAAGTGCTATTGCTATGTTGAATGTAGAGCAAACACCTTTATTGGTGTCCAACTCAGAAGGTCTGTATTTTCTGCTGGAGGATAATGCTTTGTGCCCAAATCTGATTAAAATATTTGTTCAAATACATCTATACTTCAATCACAGTCAGGTCATTAGTATCTAATTCACAAAGCACTAAACCAGCCCCTTTTTAATGGTCATGGAAGGAATCAGTGAACTTCAACCAAGTTTAACTTGGTTTTTGGAACTAACTTTGAAGAGACAACGCCCTGCTCTCCGTGTCAAGGAGAAAAGGAATGGAATATAAATAAATAAAGGATTCATCTGAGATGAAAGGCAGTGAGGATTCATTTGATCATTTCTGTAATCTGTGCTCTTTCAGTTTGACTTTGTAAAACTAATGGATGGAAAACAGCTAATTAAACAGGAACCAAGACATTCGGAAGAACTTCACCAGGGGCCCAGAAATCTAATTTTAATGTCCATGCAAGAAACTGGTTTCATAGAATATATGGACCAAGGAGCCTGGCACATGGCATTTTACAACGATGGCAAGAAGGTGGAGCAAGTGCTTATGTTAACAACAGCAATTGGTAAGAGATACTTCATATATTTTTTTTCTCTTAGATTTGATGGAGGCAGTAGGGCAGACATGTCAAACACAAGGCCCGGGGGCCGGATGTGGCCCGCGAAGTGGTTTCATGTGGCCTGCGAAGCCATCCTGGAAACAGTGAGGGAATGGCCCCCGCTGTCTTGGCCCTGGCCCAGGCCGGCCGGGAGCCAATGTACAATTTTGTGGTGGCCATCTATGCTGAAATGCATTCAGTCTTAGCTCCACAAGGCCGTCTGGAAACAGTGAGGAACCAGCCCCTGCCGTGTCGGCCCCGCCCCCTGGGTGCATGCTGGGGAGGTGTCACCCTTTGTGAGGAATGAAGAAATGGACCATGCCTTGGTGCTTGCCCCAGTCCCACCCCCTTCTGCCAGAGACCCTCAGATATGTCCCACTCCTGCCCAGGCCCCCACAGGCACCCTTGACGCGAACGATGTAGAGCTGGCCATGCCCACCCAGTAGGCCACACCCACTCCATCCACGCCCACCCAGTAGGCCACATCCACTCGGCCCCCCGAGGGCAACCACAATTCTGATGCCCTCAATGAAATTGAGTTTGACACCCCTGCAGTAGGGTCTCAGTACCTACAGTGTGCCGCAGATGTATCTGTGATTGTTATTTCATCAGCTCCACATATTTGGGGTTTATTAAGTTGGGAAAGGCTCTGAATCAGTTTATATAAACAAGGTTAGTGTGAATAATTACAATTGGCAAGGATTTATACCTTGACTAACCTTGACTAAGCCAGATTTTTTTAAAACAAATAAATAATCAAATTGAAATGGCTTAGCATGATATATAAACTCAGATACTTTTTCATAGAAAAAGAGTCCACCTGCCACTCACAATTTGGATTTCTTTCCAGATTTGTTGGGAACGTGGAATTCTGAAATGCAATTATATAGTAGTGCGGGAACATTGAGATTTTTCTGGTGGTTTCAGTACCGTGGAGTTCAAGATTAATTTAATAGGAATGCAAACGCAGCAGAATACGTTCAGATGAAATGGGAAGCTTCAGTTCTCAGTTCTCCGCACTTTCCATGAACAAGGTTGCTTAAAATGTCAACTGTATCTGAGAAACATGGCTTCTGGCTCCCACGCCAAGCAGAATTCATTCTCCAAGAAATCTTGGTTTATGATTCTGGCTTGTAAAGGACCCCAATAATGCTGTTTGCTCTACCTCAGAAGTCTTCAAACTTGGCCAATTTAAGACTTGTGGGCTTCAACTCCCAGAATTCCTTAGCTAGCATGCCTGGCTGAGGAATTCTGGGAATTAAAGTCCACAAGTCATAAAAGGGGCAAGTTTGAAGACCCGTGGGGTAGTAGAAGCTACAGTAAGTCCCTGCAGGATTACTCAACCCATGTTGCACAGATCAGCTCTGGGTGGTTTGCCATTTCCCTTAACAGAAGGAACCAGATGAGAAAAAAACACACACAGAGCCCATTGGCATGCTCCATTGGAAATATGCAAACTCAGGCAATATTTGTTTATTTATTTTATTTTTATTGGTGAAACAAAATTACAGATTCTAACAAAGAAAATAAGAAAATCAAAATGTGACAGGGACGATAGGTGCACCAGGACACTTATGCATGCCCCTTTAGGGACCTCTTAAATATGGAGTGAGGGCCGAAGTTAAGTTTGAATTAAAACTGGGAAAATTAATGGCTGAGACAACTGAGGCGTTATATGTTGAGACAATATATTCACATTGTTGGAGAGATACCTTAATTTACGATGATGCTGAGTGCTAGGAATGGGACTAGTCACTGCCATCCCCTGCCAAAGGATTGTGTGGTGTGCTATGCCTTGTTTGAAAAGGTAGCTTTCACACCAAGTGTGCATTTCTTCTCTTTTTGTTTGTTTGTTTTGGTCTTTCTCCGAACAGAAGTCATGGATGACTGTTCTACTAACTGCAACGGAAATGGAGAATGTATTTCTGGCCACTGCCACTGTTTCCCAGGATTCCTTGGTCCTGATTGCGCACGAGGTACAGATTTGAAACTGAACCCACTCACCCAAATATACAAACATGCCTACCTGTCTATCAAGATTCTCCACCATCCCAGTGATGCTTTTTTTTTTTCAAAAGGCAACTGGACTTCCTTGGGTTTCCCCTCCCCCCCTTTGAAAACATTTCACTTTTCTGCGAAAGTTAGAACCGCAGACGCTTCTTGGATGAGAACATGATCTGATGCAGATGTTTGACGCCGAGTGGCCTCTTCCTTCCACAGATTCCTGCCCAGTTTTATGCAGTGGAAACGGGGAATATGAACAGGGTCACTGTGTTTGTCGCAACGGGTGGAAGGGAGCCGAATGCGATGTCCCAGAGGAGCAGTGCATTGACCCCACCTGCTTTGGGCACGGCACATGTATCATGGGAATTTGCATTTGTGTCCCCGGTTATAAAGGAGAGATATGCGAAGAAGGTGGGTCTCTTTTTTTTTTTTTGTTCCTGGAATACTGTTTCCAAAGTGTCAAAAAGTTCAGGACTTAAAAAGCCTTCGCACTGCATGCCGAAAGGGGTGTGTGAAAGATTGTCTCGTGGAATGCTCTACGGCAGGGGTCCCCAACCCCCCGGTCTGTGGACCGGTACAGGGCTGTGGCATGCCAGCAACCACTTCGCACAAACAAGCAAAGCCCCATCCACGGGATGCAGGCAGCACACAAAACCACACACTCTCCAATCCATGGAAAAACCTCTCTCCATGGAACTGGTCCCTGGTGCCCAACCATGCTGGCTGAGGAATTCTGGGAGTTGAAGTCCACAAGTCATAAAAGGGCCAAGTTTGAAGACCCCTGACTTAGAGTTTGACAATTTGAAGCTTAAAAGGAAGGGTGTGTTTGTCTTCAAACCTTATTCCTTGAAAATGTAAGGATACTTTTATTTGATTTCTGTGGGCTATTTCATCTCCTTGCTTCCCTGTTTTATTTTCCAGAGGACTGCTTAGATCCTATGTGTTCTGGGCATGGAGTCTGTGTCCAAGGAGAATGCCATTGCTCCATGGGCTGGGGCGGAGTCAACTGTGAAACATCACTTCCCATCTGTCAAGAACAGTGTTCTGGCCATGGCACTTTTGTCTTGGAGACAGGGCTGTGCAGTTGTGACCCAAAGTGGACAGGCTCTGATTGCTCATCCGGTAAGGTGACTTGGCTCTGATCCATCTCAAATGCATTAAAACAGTTTACTTTTGAATAAAGAAGAGTATTGTCATCTGAATATGTGGGTTACTAATGTTCATCTTCATAGTCAACTTTCAAGGAAAGTTTGATGATTTGATTCTGGATGTGAAAAATAAGAGAACCACAAAAGGAATTTACCAATGGTGCAGTGGTTAGAATGCAGTACTGCAGACTAATTCTGTTGACTCCTGGCTGCTGGCAGTTCGATCCTGACCGGCTCAAGGTTGACTCAGCCTTCCATCCTCCCAAGGTCGATAAAATGAGGATCCAGATTGTTGGGCGCAACATGCTGACTCTGTAAACTGCTTAGAGAAGGCTGCAAAGCGGTATAGAAGTCTAAGTGCTATTGTTCTGCCTGTCTGTCTGTCATCTATCTATCTATCTATCTATCTATCTATCTATCTATCTATCTATCTATCTATCTATCTATCTATCTATCTATCTATCTATCTCTCATCCCATTGCCAGGAGTTCGATCCCAACCAGCTCAAGGTTGACTCAGCCTTCCATCCTTCTGAGGTCGGTAAAATGAGGACCCAGATGGTTGGGGATAATGTGCTGACTCTGTAAACTGCTTAGACAGGGCTGTAAACCACTGTGAAGTGATATCTAAGTCTAAGTGCTCTTACTATTACTTTCTCATCTGCACTAGCAAAATTTCTCTCACTGTCTCTAAGTTCCTGAGAATGAAGTTCTCCTTGAAATCCAAGTCTTTCCCACTCTGATGGTGTTTCAGAGGACCTTAAAAACCCGGCTCTTCTCCCAAACTATGGGATGGAGTGATTGTAGCCTCTGTTTGGTGTATGTGCGAGTGAGGGGTCCTTAGTGCTCTCTGACAGCTGATGCTTAGCACTAGCATTGATGATGTTCCCTAGTTTGGGTAATGAAACATCTACAAGAAAACAACCAAGCTCAGAGAGCACCAAAGATGCCTCCTTTCAACTCTAAGCTATTGTACACCAGGGACCTCTCATTTCAACCCTGAGCTATAAATATTTTTTGGTTCTTTGTATATGTGAGTTTTCTTCATTGACTTGGATCTGGTATCTGTTTATTTGTTATTTTTTAAAATGTTGCCTTGTAGAAGCATGATGGCTGAAGTGGTTGAATGCTGGGCAGGAGGTTAGCAAGTCCATGTTCGAGACCCAAGTGTTGCTGTGGGGTGGGATTGAGCTCCTGTCCTTCACTCCAGCTCCTGCCCAGGGACATAAAAAGAGCCACAATTGGGCATCCCCAGAGCAACGGTGATGTCACCGGCTCATCCTTTCCACCCGGAAGCACCTCGGTGCTTCTGACACAAGGGCAAAAAATATTTCTTGGTATTGTGAGCTACCTAGAGTCCAGGTTGATTCAGGAGTTGGGTAGCACCTACTCTGAATGGATGAATGTCAGAATATAAATTTTTGTCTTTGGATGTATACGTCTTCAGTATTGGCTCATTTTCACTGAAGCAGGAAATAAAAGCTGTAAGAAGAAGACCATCATACAAAGTCAGAATCTTGCACGTCCCCGGGCAATTAAGCACAAGACATGCAAGACGGATAGCCAGTACTGTTCTCCAAAATTTATTCATATAAAAGCACATGTGTACAACCTCAGGTTCTATATCTACTGCAGACAATGACGCAGCAGATAACCAGAATGGCGATAGCATGGAAAATGTTGGAGGACACCATTTCCTATCTCAGTACAATGATGCATAAATTAACCCGGCAATGACTAACGTTATGAATGTAATGTATATAAAACTGTAGTTTAGGAAATGTTTTGGTAGAGCGAGATTCTTATGTATGGATTATAAAATATTTAGCATTAATTTTACTTTCCATATATTGCACAAGTCAGAAGTTATTAAGGGGAGAAATACCTTAGAGAGCTGTGTTGGTTTAAGTAATTAAAATGAAAGATTCAAAGTGAATTCTTAATGCTGCTTAAATTAACGTAGGTTCAGTTGTCTCCTTTTGAGAGAAAGAACAGAACAAATCAAGCAAGAACTCTTCAGAATCAATATTTATCACGGTGATAAAAATTAATCAGCTTCCAGAATTCAAATATATACGTGAAATCATAACGGAGCGGCGATAGAACATTCTGTTTTTGTACTTTCATGTTTGAACTGAAGTTATCTTGGTTTCTTTCTCTTCTTGGAAAAGGAAAAAAAAATATCTTTGTTGCTTTCATTTAAGTCATGCAGCGGAATAAATGCCTCTGAAGATATACAGGTAGTTCTCGTCTTATGCCCACAATTGAGTCCAAAATTTCTGTTGTTAAGTGAGTTTTGCCGCATTTTACAACCTTTCTTGCCTCGGTTGTTAAGTGAATCATTGTAGTTCATAAGGTAGTCCCCAGGTTGTTAAGTGAATCTGGCTTCCCCATTGACTTTGCTCGTCAGAAGGTCGCCAAAGGAGATCACATGACAGTCACCGTCATAAATATGAAGCATCTGAATTTTAATCATATATGATCATGGGGATGCTGCAAAGGTTGTAACTGTGAAACACAGTCATAAGTCACTTTTTCCAGTGACATTGTAATTTTGGACTGTCACTAAATGAACTGTTGTAAGTCGAGGATTACCTGTAACAGTCTCGAAGTGTGAAAGGGGAAGAGCAACAACAGAAGAGGTTTTATCTATTTATTGATTGATAGCACTGTTCCAATATTTGAGGGGCTGCCACAAAGAAGATGGGGTCATCCTATTCTCCAAAGCACCTGAAGGCAGGACAAGAAGTGATGGATGGAAACTGATCAAGGAGAGAAGCAACCTAGAACAGAGGAGAAATATTTTAACAGTGAGAACAATTAACCAGTGAAGCGTCTTGCCTTCAGAAGTTGTGGGTGCTCCATCACTGGAAGTTTTTAAGAAGAGATTGGACAGTCATTTGTCTGAAATAGTATAGGGTCTCCTGCTTGAGCAGGGGGTTGGACTAGATGACCTCCAAGGTCCCTTCCAACTGTGTTATTCTGTTATTGTGTTCATGGAAAGAAATGGGAAGAACGCTTTCATCCTATATTTTTCCCCTTTTTCACACAAAGAAATCACTGTATTTGCAGATAGGTGTTTTCCTTCTAGCCAAGCAACAGTGAGCCAAGAGTGAGCCTAGCAATGCTTCATAATATAGCACATTTTGCATTATGTTAGTGCAGCAGGTGGAGGGAAAGGGTCTTACAAGTCAAGAGCAAACATGCTGACATAACCAAGTTAGAAATCCATAAAAAATGAAATCATTCTGTGTCAGGAAACAGGCAGGATACACTGCATACATTCCCTCAAGTTTCGAATGATAAAGAGGGTATAATACAGAAATGACTAATTTAGGATGCATTTATTAAAAAGAGAATTCCTAGTCCTGTCTATGTTACTTCAAATAAAGTTCATGCTTAAGATTGGTGGTGTCCTTTGAGGAAATCTTCCTTCATTTGGTTGCAGGCAATCCTGGATTTGCAACCATAATTGGGATCTGAATTTCTGTTGCTAAACAGAATCGCACTTAGACTTATATACCGCTTTACAGCCCTCTCTAAGTAATTTACAAATGCCAGCCTATTGCCCCCAACAATCTGGGTCCTCATTTTACCAATGTCGGAAGGATGGAAGGCTGAGTCAAGATCGAATTGCTGGCAATGGATGATAGATAGATAGATAGATAGATAGATAGATAGATAGATAGATAGATAGATAGATAGATAGATAGATAGATAGATAGATAGATAGATAAATAGATAGATAGATAGATAGATAGATAGATAGATAGATAGATAGATAGATAGATAGATAGATAGATAGATAGATAGATAGATGGATGGATGGATGGATGGATGGATGGATGGATGGATGGATGGATGGATGGATGGATGGATGGATGGACGGACGGACGGACGGACGGACGGACGGACAGGAAGAAAGAAAGAAAGAAAGAAAGAAAGAAAGAAAGAAAGAAAGAAAGAAAGAAAGAAAGAAAGAGATTATAGATATCTATTTATCATCTGAGAGAGAGCGATGATAAATAGATAGATAGATAGATAGATAGATAGATAGATAGATAGATAGATAGATAGATAGATAGATAGATAGATAGATAGATGGATGATATAGCAATAGCAATAAAACTTATATACTGCTCCATAGTGCTTTACAGACATCTCTAAGCAGTTTACAAATGCCAGCATGTTGCCCCCAACAATCTGGGTCCTCATTTTACCAGTCTTGGAAGGATGGAAGGCTGACCCAACCTTGAGCTCGTCAGGATCAAACTGCTGGCAATGGAGGGATGGAGGGATAGTTGGATGGATGGATGGATGGATAGATAGATAGATAGATAGATAGATAGATAGATAGATAGATAGATAGATATAACAACAGCAATAAGACTTATATACTGCTTCATAGGGCTTTACAGCCTCTCTAAGCTGTTTACAGAGTCAGCCTTTTCCCCCCAACAATCTGGGTCCCCATTTTACTGACCTCAGAAGGATGAAGGCTGAGTCAATCTCGAGCTGCGTCAGGTTCAAACTCCTGGCAGTGGGCAGAGTTAGCCTGCAATACTGCATTCTAACCACTGTGCCACAATAGAATAGAATAGAGAATAGAATAGAGAACAGAATATACAATAAAGGAAATTGAATGGCTTGTTTAGAATAGAATGGAATGGAATGGAATATAGAACAGAACAGAACAGAATATAGAACAGAACAGAATATAGAACAGAATATAGAACAGAATAGAATATAGAACAGAATAGAAAAGAATAGAATAGAATAACAGAGTTGGAAGGGACCTTGAAGGTCTTCTAGTCCAACCCCCTGCCATATATATCATTTGATATGTCATGAACTATGATATGTCACTAGTTCTCAACATGAACTAATGTTGCTGCTTCTGATCCTTAAAATCCAAATGAACCCTGGTGAAAGTTACAACTCTAACTGTTGGCACCTGAAATATCATTACCACTTTTGCAATTTGCAATTGCAATTGCTCTGCCTGTTAAAAAAAAAAAATAGGCACCCGATAACAGGTTTTGTTGAAACATTTAACAACAAAGAGGTCTTTGTATGAGATTCCTTTGCTCATGTAAATGAGAACATATAATTGTGATCTCCTTTTTGGATGCGAAGGAGAAAGTTCTTAGGAGCTGCCTCTTGAAACTAACAGATGTTGTTATTTTAGCTTGTGGTTACAGCTGCATCTTAACATAGTTTTCTGACAGTTTAAAGTTGTTGTTGTTGTTTTTTTTTAAAAAAACCCTGATAATTACTGGAAATGAAGCTGAATTGTGCGGTGAAGCTTATTTAAAGTTGTTTACTTTATATTTAACATTGCATGCATTAAGCTTTAATCAGCTGGTTAATCAACTAAACATTCGCTCTCGCTGATTAAAATAGTGGATTCACTGACTCAGCCGCCCTCACGAGAAGTTTTAGTGTAGCAACCTAATCAGTTTACACCAAAAATAAAACTTTATTCACCTTTCTTTCAGGTAACGGAAAACCTAAAAAGTGGGCAGTGCCTCTTTTTTAAAGGGAAGGTTATCTTTAAAGCATTGTAGCTTGTTCCCTTTCAAGCAGGGGTGTCAAACTCAATTTCACTGAGGGCCGCATCAGCATTGCGGTTGCCTTTGGGGGGCTGGGTGGGTGTGGCCAGAGTGGGTGCAGCCTACTGGGTGGGCGTGGATAAAGTGGGTATGGCCTACTGGGTGGGCGTGGCCAGTTCTACATCATTCGCGTCAAGGGTGCCTATGGGGGCCTGGGCAGGAATGGGACAGATCTGAGGGTCTCCGGCAGAAGGGGATGGGACCGGGGCAAGTGCCTAGGCATGGTCCACCGGGGCAAGTGCCAAGATGGCCACCACAAAATTGTACATTGGCTCCCGGCCGGCCTGGGCCAGGGCCAAGGCAGCGGGGGCCGTTCCCTCACTGTTTCCAGGATGGCTTCACGGGCCACATGAAACCACTTCGCGGGCCGCATCCGGCCCCCGGGGCCTTGTGTTTGACATGTCTGCTTTAAAGTAACAAAGAAGAATAGTCTCAAAAGTATAGCAGGAAAGCCCTTAACTCTCTGCCATCCAAACCAAATTGCCCCCTATTGATTAATCACTGTAAAGTTTTAATGGAATAATCCATCACTCAACCAATTAAAGCTTCCTACTATGCTAATAACGCCGAGAGAAACCCTACAGAGTGGGATCCGAGTAGACCTCCCAGAGGCAAAATAAATTAAATTTCAGGATCAGCGACTAGACTTACACCAGGTTGGCAAAAACAAGATTTGTTTTTAAACGTAGAGGAGACATTTATGCTTCACCTTTTAAATTGTAATAGGGGTTTTATATCCCACTGGTTTTTCTGCAGGAAACGTTGCTCGGAAAAGGCCCTGGATCTGCAAATCTTTTAAATTAATCTTTATTTTTTTTTAGATATGCTTTACCCCACCATTATTATTTTTATAAATAATTCAAAGTGACAAACATACCTAAGATTCCTTTCTCTTCCTATTTCCCCCACAACATCGCTGTGAAGTCTATTGGGCTGAGAGGCCCTGACCCAAACTCATCCAGGCACTTTCATGCCTAAAGTGGGAATACAACTTACCATCTCCTGGTAATTGGCCCAAAGTCACCCAGCTGGCTTTCATGGCTAAGGTGGAACTAGAACTCACAGATTCCTGGTTTCTAGCCTGGTACCTAAACCACTAGACCAAATTTCTTTCCTTCAAGATTAGGACACCAAGCATTTACCACCATTCTGATTTTAGTAACTCCATTACACCTAGTTTTTAAAAACTTGGGGAGACAGGTTTTGACTGGACCATGCCCATAGATGGTTGAATGTGTGTCCCATCTTGTCTGTTTGTTAGGATACAACTCACATTTACTGAAACAACTTCTATATACAATTCTGATATGCATTTAGTCAACACTTGACTAAATGGAGATCAAGGTCAGGCCCAGTGTGTGTGGTTCCTGTTCCTTCTCTCACAATCTGCACATGAAAATGTGTTAACATTTTAAGACTGTGTGTAGAGTTTAATATAGCGACATTAGTTTTGTTCCTGATAATCCCAAAGTCTAATAGAAGAAAAACAGTTGCATTGAGGCAGGGGGAAAGGGGGGGAAAAACATAAGGCAAATGTTAAGGAAATAGGATTTTTTTCCCTACTACAAAGTATGAATTATAAACTATAATAACTTGCTGATTTTTGGTCGTTCAGAGAATCCTGTACAGGTTTAAATTGACCTGTAGACCACCTAGAGGGCTGGTTAAATGAAACTACTTCAGAAGCGTATACTTATTTTTCTTATCCCAAGAAGTCAATATATTCAGTATTATTTTATGTATTATATTTTTATTACTTCTTAAGTAATTCTAAAGTAGTAAATATACCTAATACTCCTTCTTTCTCCTATTTTCCCCACAACAATAATCTTTTCAGGTGGACTGGGCTGAGAGAGAGGGCCTGGCCCAAAGTCACCCAAAGTGGGATTAGAATTAAAAGTCTCCTAGTTTCTAAGCTAGCACTTTAACTACGGTACTACACCAAACAGTCCCAATTTTAAATATTTCTTTAAATAACTGGATCTCCTATTTTTTATTTCTCACAGAACTCTGCACACTGGATTGCGGCGCCCATGGTGTTTGTGTGAAAGGAGCGTGCCAGTGTGAAGAAGGTTGGATAGGGCCCACTTGTGAAGAACGGACGTGTAATTCTCACTGCACGGAGCATGGAAAGTGCAAAGATGGAAAATGCGAATGCAGCCCTGGATGGGAAGGAGACCACTGTACCATAGGTGAGATTTGGGTGTACCTGACCCAAACTGGGATAGCTCAAGATAAGATAAGATAAGATAACCTTTATTTTCATTTTTTTTTTACTGTGGGCACAACGGCACACATCAAAAATGAAATTTAGTTGCCTCTCAAAGTGAAACACATACATGACACACACCTAAACATACTATGTACAACATATGTATAGACCCATACCCCTACATATACATAGCAAATAAATATTAAATACTGTCCATCTTGAATATATAATGGAAGGAGGAAGCTTGAGAGTTCACAAGGTTAATGCTGTATGGAATGAAACTATGGCTGAATCTGGATGTTCTGCTACGGATACCACGAAGCCCCCTCCTCCCAGAAGGTAACAAGGAAAACAGGTCGTGAAGAGGATGTGTGGTGTCCCAGATAATCTTACAGACCCTGCTCAAGCAACGCTTCTGTGCTACATCCTGGATGGGAGGAAGGGAACTGCCAATGATCTTTTCGGCCATTCTCACCACTCTCTGCACCGCCTGCACATTCAGTTTGGTTTGCACGGTGCCTGGATCAAGAACACTAAATTCTATCACACTGAAAACAAAGGCTTCAGAGCTGCAGTTAAATAGACAGCTTGACTTCTGGAAGATGGGGCATGATTATTTCATGGCTGTCAAACTATTCTCTCACGTCTCCCGCCTAGAAGGGGCAGTGGATGTAGTCAGGCTGAATCTCTTTGGGAGACATCAAACTAAGTGCCTTTAAGCAAAGTCAGGGACATCAGCACCACAAACAGCTCCCCGAAGGCTTCATGGCTGGAACTTTCAGCCTTTCATACTGCAAGAGAAGGAAGCTCTCTAAAGCAGTGGTTCTCAACCTTTTTAATGCCGTGACCCCCAACCAGTTGTAAGTCTAGGACTAAACCGGTCGTAAGTCGAGGACTAAACCGGTCATAAGTCTAGGACTAAACCGGTCGTAAGTCGAGGACTAAACCGGTCGTAAGTCGAGGACTAAACCGGTTGTAAGTCGAGGACTACCCAACCGGTCATAAGTCGAGGACTTTCCCTGCCCGGGAGTGCCGCGCATGCGTGGTTCTGCCCCCTGCGCCAGCCGAGGCGTAGCTGGCAAGCGGCAGAGACGGAGCAGGCCGACCACCAGCTGGCCCAGCTCAAGGGAGGTAAGGCACCCGCCGGAAAAGGGGGAAAAAATGGCGGACAGCCTTGCTTGGCGATCCCCATGAAATGGTCGATTGACCCCAAATGGGGTCGCAACCCATAGGTTGAGAACCACTGCTCTAAAGTCTTGTGTAAGCTGACGGTGTGTTATAGATGACACAACTCCGTAGAGGAATTGGCTTAGTTGTTTGAAAGGACTTTGTCTGATTTCGTATCCATGTCCTTCTGAAAGCTAAAAGATGCGGTGGGTGGCATCACAAACAGTTTGCGAGTCTGAAAAGGATAACAAGGCCAGTGAGGGAAATGGAGAAGACGTGGGAAACAGCCTAAACTTTATCCTACTCTGAGTCTTTCTGGCACTTATAACTCAGCTTAGTTTCTGGTTATGCATCTGGAACTCACACAGTATTAAGAAGAACGAGAAATAGCTCAGATGTAGAACCACAGAATGGCAGAGTTAGAAAGAAGTACAAAGATCTTCTAGTCTTGACTCTCTGCAGTGTATAGGAAAACCAATTAAAGTATCAGTCAAAGTTGGCTATCCAGCTTCTTATAAACCTCCAGAGATAGAGATCCCACAGCCTCCAGAGATAAAATGATCTGCAGTTATACAAATCTTGCAGTCAGAAATTTTTTTTTCTTTATACTTTAACAAAATCTAGGTCACTGCAACTTGTACCCATAATTTCTACTTCCAGTTTTGGGGGCCATGAAAAAGAGTTCTTGAGAATCCCTCTGCAGTTTCCTTGTAAGTTTAGTAAGTCAGTTTCTTTTGGAAACATTTGTTTCCTCTCTTAGCTGTCTATATTTCTGCAAATAAAAGGTGTGTCTGATCATTGTGGACGAGGAAGGGGTTGGCTTTAACTTCCAAAAGAAAATCAAATCCCTGTAAATTCAAACCATAAGGTGAGATGGTTGTGGAACAGGTTGAGGAAAGAAGATGGGTGAACCTGTTTCTTTAGAAATCAGAAGAAGATACGTGTGAAAAATAATTTCTGCAGAGCTTCTGTCACTTAGCTATAATGGCAAAGAGAACATTTAATGGGTGAAGTTGCTCATGGAAATGTGTAGGAAAAAAACTTTCATTGACTAGTTTTTCCCTTACACCCCACTACGAAACTGTGGCATTTGCAGAAAATTGTTTCCCTTCTAGCCAAACCACCACCAGCCAGGTGTGAAGCAGAGTTCTAGCAACAGTTCAAAGATCAGCTGTAAAAATGTTTCATGCACGAAAAGATCCAGGAGAAAGCGAAGTGTGAATCAAGCAACGCGACAAAGATTCTGGCAGTTCCTCACAAGAGGACACAGAATGTTGCTTTCCACAGAAAGTCATCTCTACTGGCCAACTTTCAATCACATTATTCAAGACTCTCTCCTAAACCACTGAACTGCATTAGTTCAGAAGGTAACAGAAGCTTTCATTTTTAGCCTTCTGAACTTTTCAGCACTCTGGATCTTAACCTATTATCATCAGAATAGAATAGAATAGAATAGAATAGAATAGAATAGGATAGGATAGGATAGGATAGGATAGGATAGGATAGGATAGGATAGGATAGGATAGGATAGGATAGGATAGAATAGAATAGAATAGAATAGAATAAGAATAAGGAATAGAAGATAGAATAGAATAGAATAGAATAGAATAGAATAAGAATAAGGAATAGAAGATAGAATAGAATAGAATAGAATAGAATAGAATAGAATAGAATAGAATAGAATAGAATAGAAAAAGGAATACAATATAGAATAGAATAGAATAGAATAGAATAGAATAGAATAGAAGATAGAATAGAATAGAATAGAATAGAAGATAGAATAGAATAGAATAGAATAAGAATAAGGAATAGAAGATAATAGAAGATAATAGAATAGAATAGAATAGAATAGAATAGAATAGAATAGAATAGAAGACAGAATAAGAAAAGAGAAGAGAAGATAGAATAGAACAGAAGATAGAATAAGAATATAGAATAGAATCGAATATAGAATAGAATAGAAGATAGAATAAGAAGAGAAGAGAAGAGAAGAGAAGATAGAATAGAAGGTAGGATAGAATAGAATAGAATAGAATAGAATAGAATCTGGAAGGGACCTTGGAGGTCTTCTAGTCCAACCCCCTGCTCAAGCAGGAGAACCTATACCATTTCAGACAAGTGACTGTCCAGTCTCTTCTTTAAAACCTCCAGTGATGGAGCACCCATGTTTTCTGAAGGCAAGCTATCCAGGTATGATCTGGGATGCAGATTCCCTGTTTTTCCCCTGCTTGGTGATGCAAGTCCTGATCTCATCTGTCTCCTCTGCTATTGCCTCACTTTTGGAGAAAAAAAAAATCCTCACTAGACATCCTGAAAATTAAATGCAGTGTTTTGTTCCAGATTAGCTTAAGTGAACTTCTTTGATATAGTGAGTCTGTACAAAACGATATCAAGAGAATAGCTAGAAAACATATATCCACTTTAAATTAATTTAAGAAAATGAAACAGTTTAAATACACTGATTCTTATATTCTCTGCCTTTGTAGGATTTAAATATTAGCCAAGTTATTAAAAGTGTTCATTTATCTTTGTTTCCTTTATCCCCAAGGCTAATTTCTAATTATATTTCTAATACAAATCTAAAATTCTCAGATCTTTTCAGAAGGCATTCCTTCACTGTAGAAATACAATTGTTACATTTTAATGAAAAATAATACTTTCCCCCCAAGTCGGTTACTAGTAAGTCTTGGCAAGTCGTCGTTCGGGAGTTCCCAAAGTGTTTTTGTCCATAAATGTTTTAATTGCATGCAGGAAACATGGCTCTCTAATATAATAAGAACAAGTTGGTTACATACCAGAATTTTATCAAGAGAATGGAGTTTGCCCAGTTTAGTTTGAGGTACTCTTTCGGCTTAATTTCTGGATTTCCATTTAAAAAAAGCCCTACGTTTTTACTTCTTATCTTCTTGGTTCAATTTTAAACAGATTATCAAATTTAGGTACCATCTATCTCACACTGAGGGTGACTCTGAGTGGTGCACAGTTAGAAGCACAAAAGTTTAAAACCATATAATATGGTTTCTTTCATAAGAAGCAGGATGCTGTCTGATGTTTTCTGGCAGGGATCAGCACTAAATTGGCCCTAGATAAGAGTTGACGGAATTCAAGAGGGTTTTGACTTTGGGCTGCTTGTGGGAATGTAATGACTCCAGGCTGATTCCTCTCTTGACTCCACCCACAAGGCTCTGCCTATTAATAATAATAATAACAACAACAACAACAACAACAACAACAATAATAATAATAATAATAATAATAATAATAATAATAATAAAGTTGGAAGGGACCTTGGAGGTCATCTAGTCCAACCCCCTGCTCAGGGCAGGTAACCCTATACCATTTCAGACAAATGGCTGTCCAGTCTCTTCTTAAAAACCTCCAGTGTTGGAGCATTCACCACTTCTGGAGGCAGGTTGTTCCACTGGTTAATTGTTCTAACTGTCAGGAAGTTTCTCCTTAGTTCTAGGTTGCTTCTCTCCTTGCTTAGTTTCCATCCGTTGCTTCTTGTCCTGCCTTCAGGTGCTTTGGGGAATAGCTTGACTCCCTCTTCTTTATGGCAACCCCTGAGATATTGGAACACTGCTATCATGTCCCCCCTCGTCCTTCTCTTCATTAAACTAGACGTACCCAATTCCAGCAGCCGTTCCTTATATGTTTTAGCCTTCTCCTACACAGAATCATCTCTTTTTGTTCAATACTTGTATGTTCTGGGTAGGTCTGTGGGAGAAAAAAGGGCTAATAATGCATAGACTTATAGAAGAATTGGAGCCCTGGTATATCTTGAGCACAGTGTGTATTTCAAACTGACAATACAGCACCCTTAGACAGATAACACTGATGATTAAAAACACTGTACTTATTGTTTCCACTGGAAACCCATTCTAATGGCTACTTAGGTAACAGGATTAGATTAATGGTGGTTTCCATTGATACAGATCGTAAATAGCCTGTTTAAAACACAGCAGAGGCTCTTAATCTCAATCAGCCGAATGGCAAATTAATACAGAAAGGTTTATTTGTTTTCATTTCAGTACATAAATGTAGTGGGTTGTCATTCTGCTTCCTTCTGTGTTAAAGTCACCATTAGTTAAAAAGCTGTGAATGTGAGAACTGCAAGGCGGAGAAGGCCACGTGGAAGATATACAGTATTTCTTTCTCTCTTTTTCTGAACTTCAGTTCTGCAGTTGTAGAACAGGGAGGCACCATCTGAAACTTCCAAATTTAACTGTGCCCCATGGAATTCCTCTAAAAATCAGTCCCCAATCACAATGTCGATAGGAAAGAAGGGGAAAATTAATGAGGAGGATTAATCTTATGCACAGGTTTTAATTTGACTTAATTGCAATTAAATTTCATTTGGATGCAACCTCATTGACTTGTTTCAACCAATCCGGGCACTATTTAACGGCCAACTTTAAGGACAGTTTGAAAGTTTGTTTTTTCCCACCATGCTGTAACCGAGTTGAAGTTTTAAGACAGTGAAAATCTTTCAGTTTAGAAGGTGGGCATTGATTGCGCATCATGTCTTTTTTTTTTCTTCCCAAGTACAGTAGCTTGGTTTTGTGATCCACTCCCACAGTTGAATTTGTGGGCCCACGTGAACTCACAACCCATTTAGAATATGTATTTAAATTGTCACAACTGAAGGAGCTGCCAGATAAATTATTCATTCTAAGGTGTTTTTCAGGTTCAGAAGATATGAAGCAAAGCCTAAGGGGCTTCTCACATTAGTAGGGTGATGAGAATAATGCTCAACACACTTGCAAAATAAAGTTGACAGTTCCCCTCTTATAAACTCCATCATTGACCTTACAAAATGCTAGAGAGTACACAGCATATCCTTTGTCAGTAATGAGGCATGCGCTAGCAAAAGTTATGACACAGAAATGCAGTCTGTTCATCACATATCCAGTTATCCTGTGCTTTGGTGTGTTCCAATTATGAATTTGTCGGGTTGAAACTTATTATACAATTCTGGAAAGAGTACTATACTTTGAAATTGGATTGGATGTTGAAACTGAAATTGGATTGTCGGTATGTATTTTTAGTGAACAGTTAAATTGATTCTTCTATTTTTTTTTTTTAAAAAAGACGATGACTTTAAACAATTGTGATCAAGGTTTTTTGAATTGTTCTGTTTATAACAATTTCAAGGCCACTGCTTCCTTTTTTTACTGCTATGCTTGTTTTGTTATTGTGTTCATCTAGGAATGCTATTTTATAGCATTTTTATAGTTCATATATATATATATATATATATATATATATATATATATATATATATATATATATATATATATATATATATATATATATATATATATATATATATATATATATATATATATATATATATATATATCTAAAGAATCACAACCGTGAGACCACCAGGAGATAAAAAACTATAATCAGTTTATTTACAATTAAAAGCACCTAG